ACTATAGAGAAAAGTAAAACAAGAATTCTTTCAATAAATTTTTTTTCCCATTATTAACTTACGAACAAAATTCACCACAAATCCATGCAGCAGCATATAAAACTTCGGGGACAGTTGTAGAATTTGAATCATGAATAAAAACATAATCATTTTCAAGAAGAATTGCCTGAAAGAATAGAAATAAAAAAATTTTTTCGTGATTTTATTTTTGACAAATTTCTATCATTTGATTACAAGCAAATAAACGAATAGATTCAACACGAACAGCAACATCAAGCATTTGTAAAGATATGAGATTATCATGTTTTGTACCTTCAAGACGAGTTAATTCGACCAATATACTAATCCTATTTTAATAAATAATGTTTTTTTTTATTAATAAAAATTAAAAAAATAAATGTAAACCAATGCAAAATTAGGTATATGTTGATAATCATTTTGACTACATATTTCAATTATTTTTGAAAGTAATTTATCTCGATAATGTGATTCTTCAGATTTATTCATATGAACCATTAATTTATGTACGATATCCATCAGAGTTTTCTTGTTACCTGAACAAAAAAAAAGAATTCATAATCAAAATTAAATTTATTCAAATATTGAATGATCAGATTTTTTTTATTAATAGTTTTTCTCCATCGAATTATCATATCATTTCAAACAAAAGTTCAATTAATTAAAGAGATCAGTTATTCATGTTTCACTCTACTTGTTTAAAAGAATTTCGAGAATTGATCTAATCAGGCTAATGATTTCGGCAGGAAAATGATAAGAACTTGGAAGAAGGAATCCGATCGCCGGATTCCTTCTTTCAAGTTCCTACCGTTTTCTCGAGCTTTTTGGCCGGAAACAGTTCGTACTTCTAGACCTAAGTTGAAATTACTAGATTTTTTTAAATGTTTCATTGATAAATAATTTTTTGTGGTTCAAAAACAGATAAAAAATATAGTAAAATAATTACGAATGAAAATCATAGACTAATAAACATAAATCATATTAAACTTTGTTTTTGAGACACATCTAAATAATACAAAGAATTTACAAAAAAATTAAATCGACTAAAACTACAATAGTCATTGGAAATAAATAAGAGTTTGTAACGATCATTGTTTCATATCAATTCATAACACTTTTTATATAGGAAAGCTGTCCTAAAGCACAATTTCTATGTAACGAAATAAGAGCTGATGCTGACTGGAAAATTGTAAGCACTTGGAAGCAG